CTTGGCACATTTTTCGAGACAAGCGAAGCGGTAACTTGCAAATAAGCAAGACACATCCAGAAGAGAGAAAAGAAAAATCAATGAACGCAAGGACACATTTATATTGACAACACAATATTACACACAATACTGTCAAACTTTTGAAATTTCAAGGAAAAAATATTACCCAAAGCTCTTTGAATTTCAAGAACAACACTTGATTGATACTTTTTGATCAAATTAAACCTATTTGAGATAACTGGATCAAAGCGTAACTTTTACGCTGGGAACTCTGAGGATTAAAACTTCCAAAACTAGAATTGGATCGCGCTTATTATATTTTTCTGTTCGATAGTGGAGTTTGCCCGGCTTTTATCAAAGGAAATTAATTGAACTTAAAAAGAAATCCTAAGTCAAACCGCGATCAAAAAATCAAACTTGAGCGTGAACAAATTTTCAACTTTAAAAAAATGATCAAAACCTATATAAGAATCTTCACTGCGTTTATTGACTCTTAAAAATAGCAAAATTAACCTTCTTTAAAAATGGAAGAAGCCAAAGCAAGTCAAAGAAAAATTAAGCTTTGAAAAAGAAAGATTTTGCCGAAAACGGGATTCGGCTAGATTAAAAACCCCTCGCATCCAACGCTGCTTCATTGACCTAACTACCTTACCTAGTTAACGCATTCTAAAAGCAGATACCAGGCATCAATGAATACGTTTCAATAGTGCGAATGCAAAGCATCGCACAAATTTCAACCCATTACAAATATAGCATAACAAAAACGGTTGGAAACGTCGGTAATTTTGATCCACCGACAATTTCATACGTTTGTGTCAATTTGTCAGACAATTGCTTAACAACTGACAGCCAAGATTTACCATTTAACTGATTTCTTATAACTGTTACTTTATTAATTGAAAGCCAAATTGAGCTATCCCACAAAAAAATAGTTTAGCTCAAATAACTTGAATGACTCTTAATTTCAAATGTTAATTTCAATTTGATAAATATATAATTCAATTTAAAAAATCTTATTCAGTTTTCCCGATTTGGTTCGTTTAATTACACAAGCATTAACTGTTTAAGAATCAATGAATGCACTTCAGACTCTTCCAGATTTTTTTTGTTCAAGAAAAGACAAAGCTTATTCATGCCTAAATTTACTTTTTCCTGGTTTGATTTTGATTTTTTTAAGTTAATTTCATTTCTTTCGCTAAAAAGAAGGCAAATGCCCTTATAGCGAAAATATAAAGGTCACGAAGACTATCGCTTTCTACTTTCGAAAGAGTATTTTAATTATCAGATCTCCCTGCGAAAAAAAAACTTTACCTATCGATCCAGTTTTCTCAAATTTGATTAATTTTATCAAAAAAAAATGTGTTAATCAAAAATTGTTCTAGAAATTCAAAGAGCTTTAAAGCCATCTATTTTTTCTGTTTAATTGAGTTTATCGACTATTTTCCTGTTGGCTATCTTCTCGTTCTGAGTCCTGTTGCAAATTAGAGCGACTTAAATATAAAAAGATTTACTTTATTTACACTTTTCCGTAAGTTTTTGTTCCGAATTTTGTAACGAAATTAACGGAATATTTGTGCTCGGGTGGTTTTTTTTTCTTCAGACAAATTTCGACTTTTTAACTAGCCAATTTTGACGGAATTTTTAATATCATTCAAAATATATAGTTGTCCTGAGCTTAAATTTGAAAAGATATTTCACCTGTGATCATTTTTCGTAGAGTTATGGGGGTTTAAATATTGCCAGTTTGGCCAATTTGGGACAATTAATGCGCGATATATTTCGCGCTATTAACGCGTAAGCGGAGTGTTAATCCCTGTTAGAAATCGTTCCAAAATTGTTGAAGGAAGCTTATTTGCCATATTTGATTTGTTACTAGGAGCGAAATCTATCACTTTGTACTTGTGTGTGGGAGAATGATTTCCACAAAAATCTCAAATTTAATTTTTTTATTTTAATTTTTTTTTCAAGTTATTACTGCTCCATAGACCCTAAAAGGCAGTCGAAAATTCAGGGCTTCGCCCTGATACGAGCAGTCTTGTTGTTCCGACTTTCGATACGAAAGTAACGGAGTATATGTGCTCGGGGTGGGTTTTTTTTCTTCAGACAAATTTCGACTTTTTAACTAGCCATTTTTGACAAATTTTTTTTGCATCATTCGAAAGGTATTGTTGTCCTGGGCTCAAATTTGAAAAGATATTTCACCTGTGATCATTTTTCGTAAAGTTATGGGGTTTAAAGACGGCCATTTTGGGCAATTTGAGACAATTAACGCGCGATATATTTCCTGCTATTAACGCGTAAGCGGAGATTTAATACGTCTTAAAAATCGTTCCAAATTGGTTGAAAGAAGCTTATTTGCCATGAATGATTTGTTACAATGAGCGAAATCTATTCTTTTGTAGTTTATATGGCGTGAGGGGGTATGATTTTCATGGATTTAGAAATTTTATTTTTTGTTTCTTTTTTTTACATTTAATTTGTTAATGATATTTATGTTATTACTGCTCCATAAACCTTAAAAGGCTGTCGGAACTTTCAGGGCTTTGCCCTGATACGAGCAGTCTTGTTTTGTGTTCATTTTCTGTAGATCTATGTTGACCAGTGGAACAGAGTTGTTCAGGTTCACAACTTTTAAAAAATCACAGAATCGTTCAGACGAACAATAGGCATATCTAGAGAACAGAAATGTTTCCAGTTTGGCTGAACGTTCGTCTGCCCATAACTTGTCAGCTTGGTTACCGTGGTAAACAATCCACTTATATTTTTGAGCCAAGTGAGCTTTTTGTTGGCTAGCTTAATTTGGCTTCCAGTTAAAAAAAAATCAATGAGAAATAAATTTGAAGAAATCGAAAATCAAACCCCAGAGATGTAATGAACACACGATTGAAAAATCACTCAACACTTACAAATCGCTTGAACCAATCCGATATGGAGCAGATTGTGAATGAGTCTTAACCTGATATAAGCTACTTCGCTGGAAATCAGCCTAAATGAAAACATTCAGACTGAAACTCAGAAATTTATCGACTCCGAGAAATAATACTTCATCTTTTGAATTGAAATCAATATTGAAAGGACCTGAATTATATATTATACTACACGCGATGTCCTACAAACGTTATATGAGACACCTGAAATTGTAACAAAAAAACACGACCATATTCACTTATTCCTGTCCGCTATTTCCAAGTGGTCGGAAGAAAAACTGCTTAATTTTGACAAAATATCAAAGTGAACAACTCAACTCCAGATGAATCTGAACTTAAAAAATGCTAAGGCTGCTTTGCTTGTGTGAGCTATTTCACAACATAAACCCAATAAATAATATCTTACCTTCGTTTTGTTCAGATTTATCATTAGTATTATTCAAAACCAACACACAAACGGGAAGCGGTCAGATATTCAGCCATAAGTTATCACAATTAATAACGAAGGGCATCATGAACTTTAAATTACTTTAAATTCTTGAGTTTTGATTGTCTAGAAGTATTTCTTGGAATCCATCAGCAATGTCTCCATAAGGAATTAAAATCCAAAGCCATACTACCTGTTTGAATCTAAAGATGGAGTTTCTTTCCAGGTTGCGTCTAGACACTTGAAGACATGAATAAGGTCACGGCACAGAAAAGACTTCAAATAAGCTATCCTGGATAATTTCTCAGCAAAATAAAATTTTTGCGCATTCCAAAACGGAAAACACAGAAATCTTGCTGCTCTCAAAAAGACGTGAACTGGATGTAAAAATGGGGAAGAGAAATGAAGAATAATTTAATGATAAAAAATGATGATCAGTTTAATTTAAAAGGCAAATCTAGAATTTCTTCTCATTATACTTGCAAGTTAAGTTACAAACAACTGCTGCATAAATTTACCAATATAAACACGGTCCAACTCCTAAACCCGCTCAACGCCTCGCAATGTGTATACATAGTTACCAACCAGCGTCCAAGTCAAACTAATCTTTATGCTAAAAGTTTGCACATTCATAAACAGTATACGATGGACTGGCATACGTGTGCTATGTTTAAATACAGTAGAACTAGCAGGGTTCATTAGTATTCTCGAATCCAGGAAATAGGAATCTCATCTGCATCAACATTAACAACTGCATGCACTTAATGAGCACACAATTTTACAGATATGGTAGGAGAGAAAAAAGAGGACATAACCCGAATCCATAACAGGTCAAGAGAGAGTAACAACTCACTATGATATCTCAAATGAGTTCCCAAATATTTCTTCGAAACGAAACTGGAACTTTCAAAATGTTAACGTACTTAAAATGAAAAGCCTCAAGCAGACATGAATGATTCCCTAGCAATTCTCCAACTAAGATACCATAATGTCAGTAGCGTGTCGAGGGGGAGGGGGTCCAAATCCCCCCCCCCCCCATTCTGGTTGCCAAAATTTCCCAAAGGGTCCCCTCTTTTGTATAATTTAACGACATCCATGCATGGCTGGACAATCTCAAAAATTTCCTAAAGTCGCCTTTGGCGCCAATTTAACTAAATTTGAAGGGGAGCGTGCGCCGGAAAAACTCAAATATTTTGGTCAAATATTTTTAAAAACTGCTCAAAACGTCATTTTTATCCTTTTTTTCCCAAAAATTGGCCTTCGGCGCAGAATATTTTTGACTAAATATGGTCCTTATAGTTTAAAATTTCTCGGAAACCCTGCCCTTTTGCTTTTTGTTGAAACTCAATTTACAAAAACTTTTCGTTCTCTAACTTGCAATAAAACGTGTAAGCGTGAAAAAGTGAGCAGATTGTAAGAAAATTTCTTACATGCAGACTGCCGTATGAACAATTTTCAACATTTTTTTAAGTAATTTTACTAGAGGGGTGGGAAACTGGAAAAACACAAAATTTAAATAACTCAGCATCACTTTCCTCAAATTCTACCATTGAATGTATCGCATTTAAACGTCATATCTCTAGCTATATCTTGCTTGTAAATTGCCGTAACTTAAGGATGTAACTAAACGTGGCCTTGAAACTAACATGTTTGATGCAGTAGTCGATAGCTTCGTAGGACAGCTTCATGAACCCTCCGAATGTCATTCCATCGTCAGAGGGACCCCATGACATGCTGTAGATGTCTACTTCTTCACACTCGTGTCTAAATGCCTCTGCCTCCACCGAGTCAGTCACAGATCCGTCCAGAATTTTGATTCCTATATAAAAATTGTTTTTACAACTTTTTTGGGGCCACCTTATTTTAGATCTAGATGACCTTGCCTTGATACGCATGCGCATAATGTTATGAAATTGATCTATAAAATTCTTAACTATATTTACGTGCGTTCAGTTCAATTTTGCAAAAACCTCACAGCTGAGCTGAGCTTGAACAATTTATCTCCGAAAAAGGTCTCAGGCTGCTTAACATGAAGCATAGACAACTGACAGTTGGAAAAGAGCCAATGAACGTAAGCAAAGAAAAAAAAACGGACTTATTTTTTGAAAAAACCCAGTCTTCAAATTTGAAAGAACAAAATAGATGCCCTTAAAGCGCTTCGAATTTCTAGAACAAATTATCCAAAACTTTTTTTTAGATAAAATTAACCTTATTTGAGAAAACTGGATTTATCAGTAAAGTTTTTATTTCGCTGCAAAATATGGAAATTAAATTCACTTTCGAAACTAGAAGCCAATCACGCTTTTTGTGAAATTGACACTTTGCTGTTCGATAGTGGAGTTTGCTTTTCTTTTAACAGAGGAAATGAAGTGAACTCAAAATAAATCAAAAGTCAAACTGCGAAGATGTAAATTGGAGTCTGAAAAAATTTGAAGCCTTCCTAAAAAAAAAAAAAAAACCATCACGATGTATATAAGATAGCCAGACGAAGATTGGAAAAGAGTAATAAACGCAAGTAAAAATAAAAAACAAACCACTGACTGTGTTGAAAAATCTCAGCTTTCGAATTTCAAAGAAAAAAAATAGATGCCCTTTAATCTCTTTGAATTTCTAGAACAATTAATGATTGGTGCTTTTTTGAGAACATGAACCCAACTTGAGAAAACTGGATCAATAGGTAGAGTATTAGTCCGCTGGGAAATCTTAAAAATAAATTTCACTTTCGAAACTAGAAATCGTTCACGTTTTTTTGCGCCATTTCCACGTTCGTATTTGGAGAGTGCTATTTACGTCACTTTCCGCATATTAATTTCAACTGAAATCTAAAAGTGCATTATACCTAAGTGCATCAATATTTAAAGACTTTTTCCTGAAAAAAAAATCTGCAAGACCTATATAAGAGTCTTCACTATGTTCATTCCTCTTAATAAGAGATTCAACTCTTAAAAAGCATCGAAAACTAGTTCACCTCCAATCTGAGCTCCATGTGCAATACCAACTCCGCAGATTCCATTGTTAGGGATTCCAGCAATCTGACCTCCACACTTTGTACCATGTCTAAAACATGGAAGCTTTTTTTTCAATCTGAAATTTTAAAACGCGCCTGCTATCAGTCTACGATTGATGGGAAAAGATCACCCGAAACGCGAATTACATAAAACTAACATATAAATCTAACTCAATACATCGCATAAATGTTGCTGACAGTAATTGACCTCTTGATGCTACATCCAGTAATGTCGCTGCAACTAACAAAACGAATGCAGGAATTTTTAATTTATTTGACCTCGGATTGCTTCCTCCAGACTTAATTGGTCTGAATCCACGAATCGACAAGAAATCAATTTGAAAACACTCACGCATTATATTCCCTGTCCTCTTTCGGAATTCTAGGGTACGGATCAGAGTCATTTTCGTTGAGATCCTTCGAGTACTTGCTATTGTAATTGGGCTTAAGGTCAGGGTGAGTATGGTCGAATCCATCGTCTATCACCACTACTTTCACCCCAGTTCCATTGTAACCCATCTTCCATACATCAATGATGCTGTGGTCACTTCCTGCTGTTATACCTTGTTGCCCTTCACTTTGCTATCACAAGAAACACTTAACAATTAGTACTAGAAAAATAACGCTATTTTATATTCTGATTATACCCAATCAAATCTATTCATTATTGTGTTCCAAGAAGCGGTAGAGGTTGCCATTATTCCTGAGATTGAAAATCTGTACATTGATGGCCATCGTCATATGAAAAATTTTCCTTAGCCTTCGACAATACTCAACTATCATGCGTCACAAACTTAGATCGGATATGTCGCATTGTTTAAAAAAACTGCCCAATTTTTTCCTTTGGCATTTTTACCTTGTGGGAGCGTATTTTTGGTTTAATTTAAATTATTGAATAAATACCAAGGTAAACTCACATAATACCACTGTTCCTTGTATAAGGGATCATTGAAGTTGGGAACTCTAGGGACTGTGGGTATCTTCGGAAAGCCACGTTTCGAATACGGTTGGTGCTCTTCTCGTTGAAGCCATCGGACCTTAACATACACACACATTACAATTTATGATCCCTTCGCTTTCAGGAAGCAAGCATTGCTCTGAAACTCACGTGTTCATTTTGAGCCAGTCTTTCAAATACATCAGAGATTTCGCCTGTTCGTTTCTCCATCACGTAATAATTATTCATCAGCTGAAAACAATTAAGTAACCATTCGTCTATATATTCGAAACTAACAAACAGCCTTTTTCCAACTAAAGTTTTCCATTTTCTCACCAGTTGTCACTCATATATTTTTTGTCAAATTTTAGATGAAAAATACACGAAAAGTTTGTTACATGAAAAATTGTATACAAAAAAAATATTCACTGCATTGAAGCTGCCCCTTTCATTAACTCCAACAATTATGATTATTTCATAATTATTCTTTCTTATTTTGTTTCGTTGAAGACTTAGTAGGAAAAATGGACCAAACTAATATCCTGTCCTCTTAAACAATTTAGGCGGAAGATGTCACATTGGTACAAAGTTGAAAATTTGAGCCAATCAGAATCGAGCATGCAGCCCTAAGCAAAATTCATCCAATCCTAATATTAGGGAAAAAGAACTGGCAATAACTTTTATGAGGTAGGATCTTAATTTGATCCAGAAAATAATAGCTGAGGTTCGCACCTTGAGACACTAAAACATAAGAGTGCTCAGGCTTTTAAAAATTGTTTCAAATACTTTTTATCAAAAAAACTTTTGAATTTGTGAGAGTTGAAATGTGAGAAGCGCGAACCTTTTGTTTCTCATTTTTTTCCGATCCAATCAATATTATAAATGAAAAAATAACAATAATGAAACTTCATGCAATGCTCAATTAAATACTTTCTTTAGACAAAACGGCAAATGAACAGACCAAGAAAAAACTGAATATCAAATATTAGGTTATCTGCACAATTACACGAATACATCAAAATAATTTTCAATTATAGTGAAAACTTTATATTACCGAAAACAACGTTCGTGCTGTGGCAACAACGCAAATTTTTCAGTTATCAAAAATCAAGTTTTCTAGTTCTGGCCGGATTCGAACCCGGGTTCATCAGAGTGCAAGGTATGAACGTTACAACTAGGCAAAACAAAGCATTAGACTCAAAACTTGAACCATGCAATTGACTATGAACCAGAAATTGATTCTGAGCCAGGCTATTAAGTTATTCAAGGATTCTGTAAAACAAGTCGTTTACATGCAGTCTATGTTCCGATTTGATGACGATTGCTAGTCACAAGCATAACACAGAGACTAAGCGAGGCTTTGCTTTACTTGCAAAACACTTCAAACGTAGCATTAAACGCTAGCGATTAATAAATGAGGCGAAGATAACAAGTCAAAAAAATTAAAGAAAATCAATTTAGAAAAACTAGTCGACAAATACCACTACAGGCAATAAATAAGCTGTTAGTATCATTTACAAAGCCGAAAATATTGAGCCCAAATCAAAACAATAATACATACGAAATTGTTCACGGTGTTTATTATTCGTGCCTTTTTGATAAAGTTAACCTAATTAGAGAAAATTAGATCGATAGAAAAAGCTTTTATTCAGCTGGGAAATCTAAAAATTAAACTCCACTTTCCAAACTAGGAGTCGTTCACGTTTTTTCTCGCTACTTCCACGTTCAGATTTGAGAGTTCAATTTACCTAAATTTCAGCAGATGAATTTCAATTAAAATCAAAAAAAGACATATACTTCGGTGCATTCATAAATGCATTGATATATATGTATGCACATCTGTAGTTATTGGAGCAGTATAACCTTTTTTTTCAGGAAAAAAAAAACGAACAAAAAAATCCCCATTAACTATATAAGTCTTCATTACGTTCATTTATCTTAATAAGACGACTGTTACATCTAGAAGGACATGTTTAAATATTTCAATAAAATCGATGTTTGAGAGTTTTAGCAGACAAAAAATAGTCCGAGAATTCAATTTTTCTCGGAAAAAGATTTCAATTTCATAAATACTGAAAAAAGGGGCCTGGAAGACTTTAAGGCTCAATAATAAAGCAACTTCAATTTCTTACAGACTTTTCAGAAAAAATGTTGACGGGGAAAAAGTTCCCGATGTCAAGACACTTGTTCTCGAATGTGCACTTAAAAGAGAAAACAAAGCTTATCAAGCTGTAAATATGTAGGAACAACTTGAGAAGACCACCGTTGACCCAAAAAACGGTCCAAAACCATCGCTAAAAACTTAGCCCTTCAAACCAATATAACACACACAGGCTTCGTACCAATTTCGATACAAAACATGAAAGCCCCTGCCGGAAAAAAATAGAAAAAACCAAAAAATAGATCTATCAAAATGAACCAGGCTAGTTTTGAAACGAAAACATGCCAACAAAAGCCAAAAAAAAAATACCTCAGAAGAAACCCTTTAAGCTAAAAAAAACTAAGACTTATAAAAGTTTAACAGATTCCCTTTGCCCTCAAAACACAAATATTTAACTGCTAGTCAACAATAAGAGGCCACTAAGCCGATATAATATTAAGCCAGAAAAAAAGGAAAATAAAAAAGCATAAAAAAATCAAAAAAAAAAGTTTTAGACTAATAACGCAGAGGCAAAGCGCAGTTTCGCACCACCTGCGATACAACACAAATATAAAAAATGAAAAGTCGAAATGAAAGTCGAAAAAAAATGAAATATGTTGAAAAAACTAGGTGAACTAAAATGTTCGTAAGTCTCGATAAAAAATAACAAGAGGCCCAGTTAAAGCTGGAATAGCTGTTTGAAATTTTCGGAATTTGTTATACCAATGCGGCATGAAATGGATAATTTCAAAATTGGACTTTGCCCAAAAGCTTAGCTGTTTCTCTACTACAAAAGGTGAAAAAAAATGCTATGTTCCCAAACACATAAAATTTTTCTGACTAAAAGGAGGTTTCTTACAAAACAGGAGGAAAAAATCTCACAATCGATTTCTTATTGAATCTCATATTTAATAGGGTAGTTTCTAAGAAAATCAAAAAGTTTCTAAAAAACGGTTTAAATAACAAAACCTTGACTTTCCGATATCAATAATTTTTTCTGCTGCAATAAAAAGGTCGTGGCCGCTTAAGCTGAAAAGTTTCTCAAAACGAGTTTTGTCGATTGAACCCGAACACTTAACCTAATAATTGGCAGGGTAATTTTCTAGAAAAGTAAAAAAATTTCGAAAAACGGCAAATAAATCAAAAATTTGACTCTTCTGCGAATTACCTTTTTTGTGTAAAAACATTTGGGCGTAGCTGCTGTACACAAGGGATTCACACAATCTGTTCTTTCGATTTAACGCAAAAACTCAAAATATTAAGGGCGTAGTTTTTGAGAAAAGTCATTGTTTCAAAAGACGGTACAACAAACCAATTATTGACTTTTATGAGGACCATAACTTTTGCGTAATAAAATTGTGGACGTAGTGGATAATTCAGTGGGCCTTTTCATAACCTGCTGTTTTTATTGAACCCATAATCTCAGATTTGGGAGGGTAGGGTAGTTTTGGGAGGGTAGCGTAGCTGCTGTACACGAGGGATTCAGACAATCTGTTCTTTCGATTTAACGCAAAAACTCAAAATATTAAGGGCGTAGTTTTTGAGAAAAGTCATTGTTTCAAAAGACGGTACAACAAACCAATTATTGACTTTTATGAGGACCATAAGTTTTGCGTAATAAAAATGTGGACTTAGTGGATAATTCAGTGGGCCTTTTCATAACCTGCTGTTTTTATTGAACCCATAATCTCAGATTTGGGAGGGTAGGGTAGTTTTCGAGAAAAGTAAGAAAAAATCAAAAAATGATCAAAAAACACAATTTTGGCTTTTCCGAGGGCCATTACTTTTTGTAATAAAAAACTTGGGCGTAGCCCCACATGCACAAAAATTTTCCACAAACCGTTCTTTGGAGTGGACCTAAAACTGCGATTTGGGCGGATAGGTTTCGGAACAAGTCACAAAGAATAAAAAACGGTCTAAATATCAAAAAAATTGCCTTTTCCGAGGGCCATACTTTTTAGAAGTGAAAAATTCGGGCAAAGCCGTTTATGCAGAGGAGTTTCCCATAACCCGTTTTAGTGAAGGCTGTTACCCTTTTTTGAAATTCGATAGAACTGTTATATTTTAATTATACCTGATTTTCTCAAACAGGAAGTTTTGGCCGTCAACAAAATAACAAAATATAACTTGTCTAAGCCGGTACAACATTAGACAAAACCATTTAGTCGATGCTTCAAAAACAATCCATGCTTCAAAAACTCGGCTGATACAAACTATTAACAGATAATATAAGGAAAACGAACCGACTGAAACTAGGCCGAAAATAACGAAACCGAAAAAAATCAACTCCCGGAAACGTACTCTACCTACCTAGAAGAGATAGTTTTAATTGAAATTTTAAGAAATTGAGTACGTCTTGAAAATTACCATTCCTACAAAATTGAACCCATTCCGTGAGAAAATTTATTTACGGTAAAACAGTCTAGTACCCGATTGCAATACCCTTGTTTATCGAAGGGTACAAAAATTATCAAATACCCCTCAGCCTGAAAACACAATTTTTTATCGCTCCCCGAAAAAAAAGCAATATGCTGTCATTAAGCCGACATAGTATAAGCCGAAACCAATCAAGCCGAAAAAAGAAAAACCCTAAAAAAATGTTGTCGTGAAAAACTTGAACTATAATTTCTATTAAAACTTTAGCATTTGAGCGAACCAGAGGTGAGCCTGAAAACTACGTTTCACTTCTTAAATAACTCAAAATTAGGTCGCAAAACCGTGTGGGTAGAGAAAAATTTTAAGCTGAGGAAAATATACGAAGTCAAGAACTTACAAACAGCAGAAGTAAATCAAAACACTATGATCAACTACAGTTTAAATTGCGTGTAGCAAAAAAAAACACAATTCTACGATGCGGCAACTAAGCCAACAAAACATAAGCCAATATTGTTTTTGTGAATTGGAATAATTCGTTTGAAAAAAAATTCTCCGATTCGAACCTAGGACCTTTGCCGTCTCAGGCGTAATCATTAACCCCTGGCCAAGTTTGCGGGAGACTTTTGAATTTATTGTGAACAACCCAAACTTACGATTTCTAATTTTGACCATTCTGTAAACAAAGTTATTTCTGGGAAAAGAGTCTAGTACGCGATTGCAATATTCTTGTTTATCGCACGGGTAATAAGCCGAATCATAAAACAAGTAATCAATTTGAAAATTAAAAAACGGATTTCAAATAAAGTTAAAATTTCTTATACCAAAAAATTATGATTTGGATAGTAAGCCGATTAAAAAAATAGATACATGATAACAATAAGTTAAGCTTTTACAAAAAACAATAGTTCATCTGAAAAGCAGATATCGAATAGTTAAATTTTTAGAAGAAAATTAGTCTATCTGAAATTACTCGGCTTCGGCCGGAATCAAACACAGAATCTTAGTTGTCCCAAGCAGAGGCATTGTCTGTTGGCTAAATTACTCAAAACAAGACGTTTCGATTTCGAGTCAATTATTTTTTAAAACAGCGCCATATCGTCTTTCTCATCAAAACAATAAACGCCCATAAAGCGGATAAAACACATGCTACAACATCGTTCTCGAAAAAATTGGGCCCAAATTTTGTGACCACAAATTTATTCCAGCAAGATTGGAAAAAATTAAATGGTATTATCACATCCGTTTGCTTGCAAAATATCAAAAATTTCAAACAACGAAAATATTTTATATTTCATTAATTTTAAAATTTTAGTTAGAAGTTTTTCATATGTTAGATAACAAATTATTGTACTAACCTTTTTCACCACTTTCACATCGTAGCTCCTGGCCAAATTGTCTATTTCTCGCTCATTGAGATCCGACTTGATGGCAACGCGCTCTCGGTGCTGAATGTCATGATTTGCATTTCCAAATGCCAGCCAAAATATCATGAGATATGATAAGGAAAAGCAGACTTGAATCCATCTTGCTGATATAGAAACCATTGCAGAAGTGTCACTTTTACAAGAATAATCTAAACTAAGTTACGAGCACGAATAATGTTTTATGTTGATTGAATGAAGTACTAGAAATCACCGCGATTCCTCTTCTTAGTTGGCTATAAATTCAACAGAAAAGCAGGAGTCAATCAAACGAAATAGTTACGTGTTGTACGAATAAGAATCACTGTTATTACGTCTCATCTTTGGATTACAAAATGAGTCATCTATACTACATATAAAGCCTGAAATTACAATAGGAAAGTTCAGAAAAACTGTTAACCGTCTTTTATCGTCAATTCTCCAAAATTTACACGACGAGGTTACAATAAACGGCAATTCGCGCTTTAAAGATAATAGAGACGTTCACGGTCTCTTTCAAAGTATCATTTTGCTGTGGTTATTGCTCCTACCGTTGAAAATGGGGGGAACTATGTATTCGGGTGTGTTAGTTTTTTTTATCATTTTTTAATTTTGTAGCAAAATCAGGTACCACAAAAAATCTTCGGAATGCTTCAAGTGCTATATCATATAAACGCCCTTTCAGTCGTGATTTAAGCATTGAAAAATTTCCTAAAAATTTTCTTTAATTTGTTTTTTTATAATTTTATAATCAGTTTTTTTATAATTTTATTATCAGTTTTTTTATAATTTTTTTATTTTCTAGCAACATCAGGCACCACAAAAAATCATCAGAATGGCTCAAGTGCTATGCCATATAAACGCCCTTTCAGTCGTGATTTAAACATTTAAAAATTTCCCAAAAATTTTCCCAGTGTCGAGAAAAACCGGTTTGAAATTAGGTAAAGTTAGTTTTTGTTGTTTTTAGCGCCATTTTGGGAATCAAAAAGTTCAAAACAATTTCTGCCGAAAAAAAAAAAATTACAATTTTTTGGTCATTTTTAAACTATTTTCTAGCGGCCAATTTTTTCGTTCAGAGCTTTTTATCACACCGCGCAGAAAAAAAATGAAACTAAACTGAGAACATAGCGAATCGAAGATTGGAAGAGTAATGGGTACTATTATGATAGAGTAGTCCCTCGAAAAAGCAACTATGATAGACAGGTCCCGCATGCATTTCGCATGTTATAATTTTGAAAACTAATTTGTGTATAAATTATTCATTTCAAAACTCTTGCAAAATATGTTCAGCCAGAAACTTTTCAGATTGAAAATTGTAATCACTATTGTATATATATATTGAATTTTTCTCGCTTTACTTTTTTTACGGTTTAACAACCATATAATTGGGTTGACTTATTTGTCATCTAAACCCACTATTGGCGGTTTTTTTTGTAATTTTCAACCTTGAAATGGCGAGGGGGAGGTTTTAAGAGGTAACAAAACATGAAATTTGTTTGAAAATATACTGCGACATCTTTCTGAAAGACATAATCATAATTATTAAACGATTTGGAAGATCTAGGCGTCTTATTCTCAAGGGACCTGGTTATTTTCAAGGGACCACTCTGTCATAGTAGTACCGAGTAATGAACGCAAGTAAACATTAAAAAAAACACACTTTCGTGAAAAAATCTAGACTTTCGAATTTCAAAGAAAAAATAGAAGCTCTTTGAATTTCTAGAACAATTTATGATTGGCCCGTTTTCAATAACATGAACCTAACTAGATAAAACTGGATCAATAGGTAAAGTGTTTATTCCCCTAGAAATCTTAAAAATAAATTCCACTTTCGAAACTAGAAATCTTTCACGTTTTTTTGCGCCATTTCCACGTTCGTATATGGTGATACTTTTTACGTCACTTTCAGCAGATGAATTTCAATTGAACTCAAAAATGCATTATACCTAAGTGCATCAATATTTTGGGACTTTTTCCTGAAAAAAAAAACAAACAAATTAAGCAAGACTTATATAAGAGTCTTCACTACGTTCATTTCTCTTCTAAAAAATTTAGGACTTTTTAAAACTATTGTCGGATCATTCTGTGCTACTTGCACCCTGACTGGCCGTCCTTGTTACTATTGGGAAAAGCGCATTTTTACAAAAACACTGAATTTCCCGTTCGTGTGTTACAATCATACAAATGACACAAAAACAGGCAGTGTATAATTTTTATGTAGTTTATAATATATATTCCCAGAATGTACGTAGATAAGATAAATCTAAATTCTTTCCAACATACTTTACCATAAGTGCACAGTAAACCCCATCCAATTTCCGAATACCATTCCCATCATTGTGCACGACTATTTCACTACGTGAAGAAAAAATTGATTCAAAATTGTTTTCTGCCAGTTTTAGGAAAACACAAACATAACATTGCAATCGACCAAACAGATAAAATGTTTTTTCCTTATAAATGAAAAAACGCCCACAACCACAATCGTCGAGTCTTCTGAACCATTTATCGAGCGGCAATTCGGCCAGGTTAACCCATTCTGGTGAGAAAAAGTTTAACACTCTAAACCTGAACGCCCGGTCCCAACCTCCGGAGACACATCAAAGAACAAAAAGCTATGGTTCTTTTCAAACGACGCAAAATTAACCCATCAAGTCAAAATAATAAGCCAAAACAATTTGTGCAAAAGGTTTTAACCAAAAAAAAAACGAAATTAAGAGTTATAGTATAGGCTAGAGGACAAGTGTTCCAGGGTTTTCACCCCTGTTTTCATCTGGCATGAAATTGAGTTTTATCAGGGTATTTCAGATTCAAAACACTTGCGAAGTTTTTTGACAATATCGATGGAGCCATTATAGAAACCAGTACTAAAGATGCCAGAGAAACAATTGAAAACATTTCTCTAGATCCGAATGTAACAAGAATATTTTTTAAAGTGAAAAGTTTGTACACTGATGTTCCTCTGAAGAAAGCAATTGAAATTGCCTAATATAATCTGTACAGCCAGGAGTCTCCTCCCAAAAGTCAAAGGGCAATTTGAAAAGGCTATGGAAGCTAATAAAGCGCAATGGCTGACAAATCAGTACTCTGAAAATTGCTCCGCAAAGGTGAGGCAGGCGCCGTGCAAAATTATCAAGAATAAGAGCCAGCCCTGCATAGTGAGAGGAGTTCGTCAACTCAATCACCAAAGGATGTGAAGCCCCCAATGCTGATCGTGTAATAATGAGGTAACCAAAGCCAATATTTTGCAAGCAGGTTACGAAATTTAACTAACGCTCAAGTGGTTTCCACCACAAGAAAACTAGAACCAAGTTGATCATCACTGAAGTCAGCATTTTATTTTGACCTCATGTCAAGAATGGTTTATAAATTGTCATCTAGTGGATGCAATTCCATCTATGTCGGACAAACTGTTCGAAGTTTGACCACTAGAGTTGAGGGACATTAGATTGCAGACTCACCAGTAGGCCTTCACCTTCAGCAATGCAGTCTTGATAGAAAAAGCGCAGATCTTGAGAAATTATAGATAGGTCAAACAACCAAATAAACATTTAACACTAAAAGCAATACATCTCAGGAAAGAATGCATTAAAATTGTAAATTCAAACAAACGTTTTTGTGCATCTTCAGGTTTTAAAAATTCTGAATTATCCGTACAACTTTAGGGAAACAGTTTTAGGAAAACAGTTTTAGGAAAACAATTACAGAGCCTTAGTGTCAATAATTCAATTCTGGAATTTTTGATACTAAGGCTATAGTTCCAGAATCGAAAAATTCTGGCTAAAAAAAGAAACAATTTTGAAAAAACTCACATGTTAGCATGAAAATTAGCGACAAAACGAAATTGTAAAAACAAAAAAGGTGAAAACTCCCAGAAATTTGTGACAAAATGTTTAAAAGTGTTATATAATAGTTGTTACATAATTTCAGTAAAATTTGTAAATTACTGAAAGGAGGTAGGTGGTACTAAGGAGGTAGGCGGTACTGCTGAGCTGAAGTCAGAGATTATAGACCAAACAGCCAACACTCATAAGCTACTGACACCAGAGGTTTTGCATATTTGGAGGGAGAGGCCGAAGATCAACACACGCGATGAATTCAGGAGCCAGGAATTAACGATAAAAATTATAGTCTATGTATAACATGGCTAAAAGTTAAAAAACTGACATGTCAGAATCAAAACTCTTCTCAAATCGAAATTCTATAACCAAAAAAAAAAAAAAATCTAAAAAATCTCAGAAATTTACAGGAAAAAGTGATTCATGATTACGTAATTATATTATGCAATTACAGTTGTACAAATTTGATTGGTTAGAAAGTTTTAGAGCCTTTTCAGTCACGTTTCTCGTTTTTCAGATCTTTGATCGTTTTGTAAATATTGTAAGAATTTTTAATCCTGATGATGCACAGAATGTGAAAACGTTTGAATTAACATTTTAAATTTCTCAAAATTTTTTTAAAGTACTAATTGGTTGAATTTTTTAAATTTCAAAATAATGATGTGTATGACACTTTTTATGATCTGTGATCAATTTGTACAGATAGTTTAGAATTTTTAAAACCTGAAGATGCACAAACGTGTGCTAAAACGTTTGTTTGAATTTACAATTTTAACTGATTCTCAAAATATTAAGATTAAAAAATTTGAAACCCTACGGCGTTGAGCAAATTTTCAATTACAGTCTCTCCTACAAGGAGACCTAATTTAAATTTTTTTCCCTTGTTTTGGCGGAGAAATTTTTTATAGGAAAACTCTTTTAATATTTTACCATGTTAGAATTGAAATGGTCTACATTGTAGCGGCTAGCTCCCTCTACCACAGCCTGTAACAACTTAGCAACCCGGAAAAGGAACAATTTCTGCCCAAAATTTTGGCTATTTTGGGACTTTTTTTAAACCCGAACACCACGAATCCACAGAAGAACCTCGCAAGCCTACTCTGCAGGGCACCTCTAGCAGAAAAACATCAAGTGGTTTTGTGGCACGACATCATCAATAATTCTATCAACAGCCACCGCACAAACAATTACAGAGCTTGCATTGCAGAGGAATTGACAGAAATCCTGAAGACACTGACAATTATCAGCTCAATTGTATACTGTCAGAGAAACGGTACACCGGATATCAGGAACCAGCTGATCAGCTCGGGTATTCTTGTCATTCCTATTACGAAGTGTCTCATTTCAAAGAGGAAGAGAAGAACGGAGCTGGTCAACGAATATCAGGCACTGCACCAGGACGTCCAGCTGGAGCTAAAGTCTTTGCGGATTGTGTTCGAACACTAAGACAACCTGCCAGCTGTTTTGTCCAAGCTTCGTTCAAACACAAAAAGAAATCTCAATCGAGAAGGAGGGCGCAGAAAAGAAGACTGGTGAACAG